CGGGGGAAAAAGCACTCAAGTAGCGGGTAGGCCGGTTGGCTTGCGTGTGTGACTGTGCCTGTTTGGGTGCTGATTGGTATGAGTGTGTGTGTGTGGCCCGCCAGGGCACTTGTTCGTTCGTTGGCCCTCAGGGCCGGTACTTGTGGTCGTGGCTTTGAAGGGTTGCATTGGAGGAAAGAGCACTCAAGTAGCGGGTAGGCCGGTACCGCACCCGTCAGGGGGGTAAATATGCAGGTATCGGAGGCCGAGCAGAAGAAGACAAAAGTGGCATTTTTAGAGGCCGGTAGTGTAGGCTAGGTCTAGCGGGTACCTGTCTGAGTCTAGGGCCTGCAATGATGTTCCCTCCAAAAGAGGAGGTACCGATTGCTTGGGAAGGCCAGCCGCCTGGAAGTCACCGCCCAAGAGGCAAAGCAGGCCGCTATATCTTCCGGCCGGGCGGAAGACCCGGCTTTTTTTTCGGTGTGCAAGTTTGGCGACACACTGGTGGAGCGCTGGATGGAGCAGCGCTAAACTGGAGCAGCGTTGCTGGGGAGGAAGAAGAAGGACACGAGGGAGGAAGAAGGGGGAAAGGAGGAGGAAGGGGGAGGAGCGCCAGGGGTACTTACCTGGCTATGGTGGCAGCTATCTTCATCACCTTGGTGGGCGCTGCAGCAAGGAGTCCCCAGCCGGGGGGAGCTACGACTCGGACATGATTCTGGACCAGTCGTTCAGCATTCCATTATTATTTCTTGTATGAATAAGAGAAGGGGGAGATAAGGAGGAGGAGATTGTTGGGCGAAGAAGAAGAGCCTTGTCATTGTCTTTGCTGGTGTACATCTTCTTCTTCTTTCTTACTTCTTCTTTCTTACTTCTTTTATTCCTCTCTCCTCTCAAGTTCATTCATTTCTTTCTTCAATTGGATGGCATTGTACTTTCCAGTGGATGTGTATCTCGAAATTGGCCAGGGTCATAACATATGGAAAAAATATACGTAATGTAAAATAACAATACCAGTAGTGTTTGCCTTGGAGTTATGTTAAAATTCGTAGCCAATCACGAGTTAAAAATGAAAAATATTTTTTTTTTAATTTTTTTTTACGAAAAACATTTTGTTTGTCCAAACATGTTCGCAAGTTGTTCGCGTGAACGTGAAGGGGCGCGAACACGTTCGTCGCGCTACGCAACCCTTCACAAATTTTATCCTTCAACTCATTCCCAATGTAAAGGTAGGTAACAATTGTACGTTTATATCATAACGTCTGGACAAAGCATCAACAACAACATTTTTTAATTCGAAATCAAATGTGTTCACGAATGCAGACCATGTTACTAAGATTCTAGGTTGAGTCTTGATCCACTTCCGGGTTGAGTGATCCGAGTAAACTGTGAAGTGTCGTCCGAGCAAGTAATTCAATGCTCTGCACTAAGGCACACAACTCTCTTTCGTAGGTGGAAAGTTACCTTGTCAGATGGAAGGCGTTCAGACATGACCTCAATCGGTATATAGCCTTTGTCGTCGTTCTATTGTAGCACAACCCTAATCCCAAACTGACTTGCATTGGTTGTGACAATGAAGGGAAGTGATGGATTAACAATTATTAAGATAGAGTAGTGAGTTAGCTTATGCTTATTTGTGTTAATTCAATCCAAATTAGTTTATTTTTGCATATCCTTTTTATTTGTTTAGGCAAAATTATTTTTGGCTCACCAAACACTTCCACATTTTCTACTCCAAAATTGAATTCATTCAATTCATCTTCAATTTTCTTTTTTTCTTCCAGTCCCTTTTTCAAATAAATGATTAAAGTTTTCAGCCTTGTTTCAACCACCACCATGGTATACTTGAAAGCGGACTCACAGTCTTTGTCCCATAATAAAGGGTTTTCCTTCTTTAACAATTTTCTCATTGGTGCAGTTATAAGGGAGAAGTTTCTCAGAAACTTCTTGTAATAGCTAGCAAGTCCTAAGCAGTGATTTTTTTTTTTTCCCCTTAGTCCGTCTTCATTTACTGTGTGTTTAAGGTAGAGTAACACAAATTTAGCAAACTTCCGACTTCTTAGGATTTAACTTGTAGTTATTGTTTTTTAATTTCACTAAAACCATTCGTAGGTGTTCTCATGGTCCTCTAATGTCTTACTGTATATGAGGATGTTATCGAGATACACTACTATGAATTAATCTTAGCCATTGCCTAAATAATTCATTCACAAACGTCTGAAAGGTTGCAGGGGCGTTAGTTAATCCAAAAGGCATGACAACAAACTCGTGGTACCCATACGCGGTTCTGAACGCTGTCTTGTGTCGATCTTCGGGTGTTACCTCGATCTAGTGGTATCCAGACTTCAGTTGTCTCGCGCCCCTAGGTATTTTCTACCTACGTACCTGTGTCGGTTAATTGATTTTATATAACTGATTATATATGTAACTCATTCTTCAAAACTATTTAGAACAATCGAAATATAATCTCATTCAATTATCAAAATTGTTTTTGTTAAATTCTTCTATTTGGAATATTAAATGTGAAATTGAATACAATGTTTCTACTCAATTGCCGAATTCAGTCCTCGGTCCTGAAAACAAGCTCAAGTTATCTTTCCTTTTTATGTACGAATAAGACAAGTGCACTGTAGGAAGAGGAACTTGGTCAAATGGATTGTTTATTGGTACAAGGGAACCCGCCGCGACAAGGAACGGGGGGAGGGACCGAAGAGGAGAGGAAGGAAAGGTGGAAGAGGAGGAAGGAGGGGGGGAAGCGAGATCGAGCAGACACAATGGAATGAGGGTGATGGAGATGTTTTGTGTCAAAGACGAGATTCATGTACACTCAAAAGAAAGAGTTGCCAAATGTGAAGTCCGTATCCAAAATGTTGACAGATCGCAATGCCACAAATGTTTCTCTCAGCCTCTCTCTCTCTCTCTCTCTCTCTCTCTCTCTCTCTCTCTCTCTCTCTCTCTCTCTCTCTTTGTGTGTGTATTCGGTGACTTGATGTGGACGCAATGTGCGTCTTCGAGCGCCTCAAATTCATGCGTCGCGGCGACGTTGCCGTCGCATGCACACGAATTCGTCGGCACGGATTTCTCAGTCTCTCCGCGTCTTCGGACGCTTGAAGTTTGCGCGCCGCGACGTATCCAGATTCTTTTGCGGTGCAGCGTTCGCATGCACACGCTAACCCGCGTCGGTGAAGCGCACACATGCACTAGGTCCTTGGCATGCGCACAACTCCGCGCATGGCCCGCGCCACACGCGTCTGGATTTTGTGGCCCACGCGCGTATTTCTCTGTCTCTGCGCTGTATCTAGACTCTTTTGCTGTGCAGCGTTCATCCGCGCGCCAAAGAGACAGCCGCACGTACGCGACGACAAGCTGATGATCACAAAACACGAACCAACGGTCAGATAGCATTGTTCGAAACGGCGCATTCCTATGCCGAACCCCACCGTCGCGTCAAAAATGCCCCCGTCGTATGACCTGTCGTATGGCTAACTCCTCCGTCGAAAACGACCCCGGCGGGACTGGGACTACGCAAAATTACGTTCTCGCCCGCCCGTCATTCCGCGGTACCCCCTCCCACGGTTTCCCATGGGCCCGGTGTTGGCGTTACGGCGGGCTCGCTCCTCCTTTTATATGTATAAAGAAGTTCTTGCAGTTTTTTTCTTAGTTTTTTCGGTTCCCTTGTGGACATTCCGTGGATTGGTCCTTTGGGAATCTTACTTCCGGGAATGATTTCAACTGTGCTTTATAGCATGGTCAGTGACTCTCGTTGGTTCAGTCTGCACGTCCTTACATTCATTGAGTAACTTATCGATAGAAGGAGAATAGGACGAGGAACAATCATCGACTTGTTTAACGAGTACCATCATTACATCCCGTGTCAACGAACTATGAGAAAGTCATCGTGCTTTTGTCCGCAAGCATAGCTGTGATAGTTCTTGGGAGGGCCTTCATTCTCATTCCCAGATGCAACTTACGAATTGCCTTTTCTGAGATATAGGACCGGTGACCCATCATCTAACAATGCACCTACTCGTGTACGCGCAATCTCTACGTCTGTGATCATCAATTCACCCTTAGACTTAGCTTTCTTAGTCCCTAAACTTTGTAAGGCCATGAGTTAACAACCTCGTATGGCTATGAGTTAATAACCAAGTTCATCAAGGGAATCACCCAGTGAGATAGAACACAACAGGGTTCAGGGTGACGGGCCGAAGAAGACAGGCCTATAGTATTGATGGGCCCAGCCACGGGTGTGGCCTAGACACCTCAGCCGCGGTCTAGACACGGGCGCGTGTGAAAAGAAAAAAAAGAAAATGCCGCAGGTGCAGAGAGAAGAAGGCCGCAGGCGCAGGAAAAAAAAAGTCGCAGGGGGGGGGGGGGGGGGGGGGGGGGGGGGGGGGGAAAAAAAAAAAAAAAAAAAAAAAAAAAACGAGTGGCCGCCTGATTTTGCCACTTCCGAACTTCCAACTGCTAGAAGTGCACAAAGCTGTTCTGTTTTTGCAGTTTCTAAATGCCCTCGGCTCAGACCTACAGTGCCCTTTTGTTCCTGCGAATTAGGAACTGTGGACCAGTCACCCACACAGTTATTTCGATTAAATTTTACATGAAAGAGACCTGGGCAGGCAGCATGTTGCATGGTGCACCTATCAGAATTCCTTGAGGGCACAGAAGAATAAGGAACTTGATGTATGCCGCAAGTAGATGGCTAAAACTCTGTGAATTGTGGCCACTGTTTGGGTGGTGCTTATCTATAACGAGAATGATGATAACAATGACAAATTATGCCAGTGACTGTCAGGAGGAAGATGATGAGGGTAATGCTTTCTCATAGTTGTAGTTTTCTCTCTGCGTTGGAGTTTGAGAGCTGAAATTTGAAGGTGAGACTTTCAAGTCAAAAGATGGGCTTAAAATAAAGATCCGAGTCCATGCTAATGCGGAATAGATCCGTGGATGACGGCATGATGGTGTTCGTGCTATAAACATGGAGTATGCTGACTGCTCACCCTTCTGCTGTTTTTGATTAACAGGTTCTGGAGATGCCAATGAACTTCGGAGAACCTACGGTGGTGCTCATCCGGGACCCTGGCGATGCTCTTTTCAATGATGTTAGCAGTTGCCTGTTCTTCAAGGATAAGGTGGAGAGGCATGAAGGGCCAAGTGTATTCTTCAAAACTGCAACAGAGACACAAAGCAATTCAAAGCGGCAAAAGGTGAGTGTTATTTTGCGCTGCGAAGACATCCCTCCTTCCTTTTTTTTTTTTTTGGTCTCCTCCTTATAAAGGCAGTGGAGCTGCAAGGCAGACTTCTTTTGAAGATCTTTCTTCTGTTTTGGGAAGTAAAACATGGCCGTGGGATTAAAAAAGCAGACTTTTCTTTTCAAGAATTTTTTTTCTGTTTTTGGGAAGTAGAACACGGATGTATGATTAAAAAAGCAAAAGTGTGGGAAGGAGGACACTGGCTTAGGAGCACGTAGGTTTGGGTCTTATCAGATCATGGGGATAGTCGGGGTAGTGGGATTTGAACCCACAGACTGCCCCCAAGTTTTCGGTGGATTCCAGTCGTTATTGCTTGTCAGTATGGCTGCTTGCTTTCTTTTGTGCTCCTTGAAGGGTTTTGAACCTGGGACCTCCTTGAAGAATCTCTGTAGGCTAGGTTTAGACTTTAGAGTAGGCCTTTCTAAACCAGCAGATCTAGAATTTTCAATTTTGCAATAGGCTTATGCGGTAGGCTGGGAAGGAGTTTGTCAAATGTAACGAGCTAGAAAGCAGAAGTTATGATTTTTCATTGAGGTAAGTATGTTCATGTCACCTTTGAGTATTGAATGGGCAAAACAACACGCGTTGGCAAAGAAAACCGTGCCGAGTTCGAAAAGGCAACGGAAGTACCGATGGCTGTGGTGTCAGACCGGGTGAGGGGTCGGTCGTGGTGTCCGAGGGAAAAAAAAAAAAAAAAAAAAAAAAAAAAAAAAAACGCAACTGATGCTTTTGGACCGAAATTGCTCATTTCAAGTTGGTGCGTCGTTTCTTTGCCGGCGTGAGTTTTTTAGCCTTTACGGTTTCAAAATATGCCACGTTTGGTGTTATTTCTTTTTCATTTCTACAAGTGTGCAGTGAAAGAAGAATGGAGCTTTCTTTTGGAAAAAAAGAGGAGTCGTCCAAGCAGTGGTAATTTTTTGTGCTGGTAGCAAGGAGATTAGGCGCAGCCCTAGCCAGGTAGTCCTGGCAGCTCGCCGCATCGTTTTCCATCTGCTGGATGCTGTGTACTCAGGGCAGCTGTGCGCTCCTGTGGGCATAAGAAGTCCTCTGTTATATGAATTACTTAGTACTCCAGTGTGGTATGTTCAACTGACGCACACAAATATCTGAGATTCTTGAAAATCACAAGAGGATTGTCCTAATTAGAACAAGGAGTTCTCGAAGTGGGTTTTGAAGACTAGATCCAAGGTTCACTGATTCAGAGCTTTCAGGCCCCAAAATTAAAGAGGAATGAGGGGTGTAAAGTTGTAAACCATCCTCTGTTAAATTAATGCTTTCAACATTAGCTAGATTTCTGCCAGCTCATTACTGTCATCCAACTTGGTTCGCAGTCTATGCTTCACGTTTGGCCCTCTGTCACTGCTTGATGGCATATCTGTTCTGAGACTCTTCTATGATTCGATATCGAGTCTCGACTTATTTTCTTTTTTCAGTACTTGATAATCCATTACTCTCCTCCTCCTCCTCTTTCTCTGCTGTAAGTCACCGCAGTCCCTCGTTCTTGACTATTTTTCAACTTCGCTTTCTTGTTGATTGCTTCCAGCTTCTCTTTGATAAGCCTCCACGGGTTCCCCACCCTAGATGTTACACTTGCCTGCAACTCCTTGCTTTATCAAGCTATCAACCTCTCTTATACTTCACTTTTCTCAGACTGAGTATCTTCTTTTATGCGAACAGAATCGCCTCTCTTTCCTCCTCAGTACTTGACGATTCGTTACTCTCTTTCTCCTTCTCTTTCTCTGCTCCAAGTTGCTGCAATTCCTCATTCTCGACATTTTACTTTGCTTTCGTGTCGGCAGCTTCCAGCTTCTCTCTGATAAGCTCCAATAAGTTGCCCAACCTAGATGTTAGGCAGGCTTTCATCTCCCGGCGTTTATCAACCTCTCGGACCTCACTTTTCTCTCGGTGTCTCCTTTTTATGTTGATGATTTGAACTCCTCCCCACCAATTTTCGGCTTCCTTCTTCTGAATCTTGCTTTTCTCAAGCGCCTACGCATTTTGATATTCTCCGAAAATTCCATGTACCCCGTTAGTCCTGTGAAGGGTGCTCTGTTGCCAGGTCCAGGAAGCGCATCCACGGTTGATCCTTCCTGATCTCCATAGAGTGCCTGCCATTTTAGCCAGCTCCTTGCATATAACCTGAGAATTGGTTAAAGCCATTCGGTTGGGTATTCCAAGGGCCATTCGGTGGCCGAGCTTGTGCACCCCAGCGCATCAGTTGCTGCGCACCTTGCATGCCCTGTTGCATTGGCATTAGCTTTTGGTATTGTGGCATGGGCACCTGTATTGGTAGCATACACTTCGCATCCAGCCACCGTAGGCATCCATCACATCTGCATGGGAAAATGCTGCAGTATCGTGGCAGCTTGGTACGGTTTGCCAAGTTGGCGCCACCTGCAGGGATCAATTGCCTGTCACAGCGTTGTCTGGTGCTACACTGCTAGGTTGGTCCATCCGGTATTGTCCGTATCTCGTCCACCCACCTCTCCTCCCATGTTATCTATACCCCCGTCCCGTCCTCTCCTGTCCACACGAGTCCGAGACTGTTAAGCACCCCAAACGAACATCCCACGTCCAATCCTTTACCACATACTCCCGTCCGAGTTCCGACCTATTCCCGGATATAGACCACATGCATCCCTTCAGGCGCTCTGTTTGGTGTAGGAGAAAAACACCGGTCTTTTCTGCATCATAGGACACTGCCTTTTCTCCGTCTGGTGTTGGAGAAGAACTCTGACCTCCTTCGCACCATAGGACGCTGTACGTGTAAATGGAGCCATGTGTGGCTTGTGCTACGGCGGGCTTGAAGAATGAGGTTGCAGAAAAAACCCCTCGAGTGAGATCTTTGACGCAGGGCTGAAGAGGGCTGCAAAAAGCGAAATGACAAGTTTCTGGGCTGACATGGCAGCACAGCAGCGGGGTCCGGAGATCAATAATAACCTTCGGGAAGCTAGCAGAACCATCGGCCAGGGTGCTGGACTCGGAATGCAGGCCAGTTTTGATTTTCTACCCCGTTTTTGTCTTTTCCTTTCCTTTTTTTCTTTGTTTTTTGTTCTTTTTTCTTTTTCTTTTTTTCAAATTTTACTTTTGGCAGTTTGGATGGCACCGCCTATCCTTGGGTTCCAGTAGGGACATTGTATCAGACGGGGTTGGCCCTTTTGTACGGCGCAGTAAGGATTTTTTGTAACAGTGACCTTAATGGATGAAGTTTTTCTACGACTGCGCCCTTCTGCAAGGAAAATAAGCAACAGCGAGATGACAATTCCAGATCACACCATCACATTGAAAGCCAGATAGTCACACTGTGTCCAGAGAGCAGCATTGCACCAATAAATACACCAATGGAGGTTCGTAGCACTGAAAAACCAATGTTCATGGAGAGCATACTCTCTCCTCTCAACACAAGAGTCCAGTTCCTTCACACTCTCACTTGGCGCTCAGCGCCCAGCCTACTCCTACACAGCTACTACAGACTACGAAATGACAATGCAACTGTTGACATCAGCGGCAGCCCGAAGTACTTGAAGATGTCGCCCATGCAGACCATCGCCAATACAAGGTATGTGCCCTCACATCATCATCATCATCATCATCATCCTTCTCCTATCCCCTGACTCCACCCACGTATGTCCTCTGTTTCACCCGAAGACCACCCCTGCGCCTCACTGTAGTCCAAGCCCACCAGCTATGGTGGCTGGGCTATGGCGCTGCCCTCAGCAGCGCCCTTCTTCCCTGCACGACCGCACGTGCTGCACCTCGCCTCTCAGCGCCAGCCAGCAGCCGCGAGCCTTTGCTCCAGCAGCGCTGCCGCCAGCATGCAAGTGCCTGAATGAGCTGCCTGGAGTGAGCTCTTTCCTTTATGGAAAGAGCTGGCCTACACGCGCAGCCTGGCTGCACTGGCCTGGGCCCAGAAGCTTCCGGAAGGCCCCAGGAGGCTGCCTGTGTACATCAGCTACTGGGCTGCTGGGCCTCGTTCGGTTGGGCGCCCAACTGTCTCTGTATGAGGCTGCGAATCATGCCCAGGGCCTGCATTTCTTTGGAAAGGCCCAGAGGGCCGTGGAAATGTCTTTGTTGCTCGGCCTGTGTTTTTCTCAACCAACTGGCGCGTCGCAACTGCCTGGACCCCAAATATGAAATTGACAGTCGAGGGCCTCTTGCAAAAAGCCAGGCCAGCCTTCAATTAGGGCGGGTAATGCTGCAAACAGGGCCCCATAGGCCTGCCGAGGACCCAGATCCTCGCACTTCTTCCATTCATAAACAAAACTAGGATAAAAGTGATAGACTGGGAGTGAGAACTCCTCTTGGCTTGAGCGGCAGGAATATCTCCTTGGGTTCCAGTAGGGACATTGTATCAGATGGGGTTGGCCCTTTTGTATGGTGCAGTAAGGATTTTTTGTAACGGTAACCTTAGGGGATAAAGTTTCATGACTGCCTTGGAAGTAGGATAAAAGTGATAGACTGGGAGTGAGAACTGCTCTTGGCCTGAGCGGCAGGACAGAACGGTCAAGCGTCTGGTACGTTTTTTCACTGGGAAGGTGAGGTGTTCTTTGCTGTGATTAAGTAAAGCCCATGATCACATTATGATTGATTTTGAAAAAAAAAACACAGAGAAACAAAAACTAGTGAATCAGCAAATCACCAGCCCTTCTGATCCGACTCACAACTATGATGAAGTAGTGCAAGGCTAGGATGGTGCGTGATGAACACAAAATAAGTGGTGTGAAGACGATACGGAGGATAAAAAATGAATACAATGATCAAGCAACACAGAGCTCGAGTCCCATGTGGTGGGACAGTCTCGTTCCCAAGCCATGGCAAGGTCGAAATTAAGGCTATAGTCTGTGAAAATATAATAATATTACGATGTAGATGACATGGGCATCAGTACCATGGCACTGTCAACTTCTCCTTAGCACATCCCCAGCCTACAACTGTGCTCCAGCCCACAGGCCCAG